CCCCCTTGAAGAAGCTCTTAATTCATACTCTCTAATTTGTAAATTGCTGGCAATGAGAAGCTAATAGTGCAGTTAGGAATAGCTGGTCGGCAAAAGCTTGATACTACTAACTGTAGACTTAGCAGGCATTTCCTATGTAGGAATTTGAGAAATGAAGAAAACATGGCATTCCTTTAATCTCTTCCCAAATGTAGCACTGTGCTAGTTATTTTGGGCAAACTGTGTAAAGAACTGAAGGGCATGGATGCTTAAGGAATAGCTCTAGCGTCCCACAGTAGAGAAAGGGCTATCTCCCTTTCCAGGGAAGTATTCTGGTATGTGCCATCTGTTCCAGTGGTGAGCACCATTACCTTTGTAAAGACAGAGTTAATGCATAACTTGACAATTAATATGTCTGACCTCAGTGATAAATGTATTAGTTGCATATTGTAGAAACTGTATAACAGTATTTATGAAGGATGTCAACATCTAAACAGCAGTAACTTTCATGCAGATCAGATGGCAGAATATTAAATATTCTCTGGCCTGTCCATCAAATCAGCCTCTTCTCTAGTTTTGTAGTTTGCTTGCTGTAATTGGACTCTAGACGTGTAAGAATCTAGCTATATGGATCATTAGTAGATCAGGGTTTTGAATTGTAAATGCTATTGGGCATATTCCTGTGTTAAAATACATAAGGTACATAGTCTGTGTTATTTATAATAATCATTATAAAATGGTCATGTTTTTAATAGTTCATATATATATTGACTCTCTGTGTATACCTGAAAATGATTTTATGTTTTCTTGCAGCTAACAGAAGATGAAATTGCAACTATTCTAAAATCTACTCTTAAAGGACTTGAATACTTGCACTTTATGAGAAAAATACATCGAGATATAAAGGCTGGAAACATCCTTCTTAACACTGAGGGCCATGCAAAATTAGCTGATTTTGGTGTGGCTGGCCAGTTAACAGTAAGTACCTGTGGAAAGATCATTTAAAAATGCTTTAGTGTTCCTAACTGTGTTCTTTCACTTTCGTCGTTCTTCTGCCTTGAATTTTGTGTCGGAGTGACCGGTGGTAGAGCTAACATTCTTTGTCATGACCCATGTTTGATGTATTGCAAGGTTATTTAGTTTTTAGTTATTTGTTTTATAAATCAGTGAGCTTCGAGTGCCTGACCATAAGCTTTTGTTTGAGGTTTATGGTCATTGTCACTTCTTTGGCCTCTGTAGGCTGATGGGCTGGATCTGTTTGGTCTTAATTGGAAGTCACTATCATTTGACCCTTGGGTGGATAATTTAACTTATAAATGTAGAATGAATATCAAAAGAATCTCAAAATAAACATCTCTGTTTTAATTGCATAAATAATATAATTACAGGATACAATGGCAAAACGTAATACTGTTATAGGAACTCCGTTTTGGATGGCTCCTGAAGTAATCCAAGAGATTGGCTACAACTGCGTGGCAGACATCTGGTCCCTTGGTATCACTTCAATAGAAATGGCTGAAGGAAAGCCTCCGTATGCTGATATTCATCCAATGAGGGTAAGTGTGTGTGGTGGTGGTGTCTGGTGTCAGAAAACCAACCAACCAACCCCTCAAAAAAACGAATACTGGAATACTAAAACTGTACTATTATGGACCAAGATTTTAAGACTAAGGATTTTTACTTGCTGTCTTGCTTCCTGTTTACTGCAATTTGCCTGTGTGTTACCACATCTCTGTAAGGTTTCAGAATGCTTTTATCTCCATTTTACTGAGAACTCAAGCAGTAACTGCTTAATTGACTTGAAGGCAGCATACAGAGCCTATTCTGTACTGTACATGCACTTGGAGAGTTCCGTAACTGAGGCCATCCTCCTTTGGAGGGGAGTTTTGAGGTAAAGGTGACCTGAAGAACGATTCAGAATTGTCCTATGTGAGCACTGCTAAGAGTAGTAACCCCTGACGGTTTTTATTTATTACCGACTCTTAGCTTGTTACTGAATTAGGTTACTTTTTGCAAAATAAGAGATAAACAGAATAGTTGCTTGATGAGAAGTAGCAGTTATAAAGGAATGACATGGAGAAGTTAATGGGGAGGAGTGTTCATCTAGGAGTAACTGTTGCCACTGTTAGTCATGCTTTATTTATTTATTTATTTATTAAAAATGAGCTATAGGATAGCTGCACTGATTGCACTGAACATTAATAAATATCCTGTTCCTGAATTGCTTATATCTAAAGCCCATTTGGTATTAATAAGGCACTTTATATTCCTAAAAGCATTTTTTTTCATCTTTGTGATTGGCTGCAAAAATTGCATGCATACTAGATTATTTTATTCACTTCTCTCTTGCTGGTGCCTCACATATCAGGATCTTAATATAAGGAAGCCACCACTGTTGAAGTGAAGAGAAAGTACTGTTCATATGTGATTACTCTAAGTTGATGCATGTATGAGTTCAAGTATATTTAGTGCTGTGGGGTTCGTGATTTTTGTTTGTGGGGTTTGTGATTTTTGGAGCAGAGTTTATGGCAATTTGCAACTCAATTAAAGCTAGTGAGTGTTTTGTAATTAGAAACATTATGTAATTTTGGAAGCAAAGCTTAGTAATTTTCCTGCACTTTTCTCCCCCTCACCCCAGTGTAATTAACTATTTTAAAATTACTGTTCAAACTGAAAATACTGAGGTGAAAGCTGAGAGCAAAATAAGTATCTCTGGAGCTTTTTTTTGATGGGAATTTAATTTAAGATGAAATAACATTTTTAAAAATGTTTTGTAGAATTGCTGATTACAAATTAAATACATTCGATTATGCTGGAGTTTTTGGTTGTACTTTTAATTATTATGTCTTAATTACATCTGAGTTTTCACATTGTGATTTGTAGCTGCACTGGCTGTTGAATGGTGAGGACTGTATTATTGGAGAGGAGTTTTATAAGCATGATAATAGCTGTGTATAAATCAAAGGTCACTGAGTTTGAAAGCTTGTGAATTGTTTAATTCTTGTAATCAAATGAGTGCTATCAAAGGCTAAAGTAATTTAACACAACAATTCTGGATTACATAGAACATGTGTTCTCGTCAATAAATTACGTTACGGTTTTTAAGGGCTTGTATGCAGTTAGTACTCTTTTATATATTTGATACCTACAGTTTTCCTTAATTTTTATTAGTGAGTTGTTACAGTGGTTAACAAGAAATACACAGATTTAAGTTGCAATAGTTTTCCCAGTGTCATATGATACAGCTTCACAGGACTTCTGGACATATGTAGATGCTTTCCTACTTTGTTTTAGTTATGACACAGAATTGATACAGGCAAGCATGAAAGCTTGGGCAAATTCTCATTGCTTTTTCTAGATGTTGCTGGAGTTCTGTGGTATTTATGTAAGGCACAATTTTGTTACTTGGGAATGCATGTTGAAATTACCATGTGCACTATTTTGCTGTAGGCTGGTTGGCACTGCCACAAAGGTAATGTGCTGCCAGTAGGCCATTTCCTTGTCAACTGCATTTACAGTTTAATAGAAATACTACATGACTTCTTTAAACAAGTGTTTTGGCAGAGAGGAAATAGCAGATTCCATGCAAACAAGCATAGCTTCCTCTGCTTAACCACACTCTAGCTACTCCAAAGAATTGTACTAGTTTCAGCTGGGAAAGAGCGGGAAGTGGGGGAGAGCAAAATGGAATTCCACTTTTGGGGGGTTGGGGAAACAGCAGTGTTTTTCTGTGTAAGTATATTTGACCATGTAACATTGACACTTATTTCACTTGTTTCTGCTGCAAACCTGAGTTCAGCAGAGCCTGCAGTTGTCATACTTGGTTTGAGGCTCAAAGGTCAAGGCCATTTGCCAGCCCAGTAAATCTATTGTTTGATTTGCTAAGAATTGCAGGATGCCTCACATATCTGACGTCGGAGTCCTTTTGTGCTTTTGCTAATGATAAGTGAAACTTTTCTATTTTCTCTGAGTTTTCATCAAAAGAATGTTTTCAAGTAGTTTTAAAGGAGGAAAAATACAGATGTCCTCAAGGTTGCCCTAAAATGTGACGATAACAGCTACTAGAAATAGCAAGGAATTTGCTAATACATCAAGAATGACTCAAACTGAGATAAGTTAACCCATCCAGCAGGGCTGAAAGCATGCTGATTGCAGTAGTCCACGCAGTGAGCAGGGTTAACGTGGCTAACTGTTTGCTTCTGCCTTTGCTCTGCTGGGATGAGCAGTTAGGAATTTACAGTGGAGCTAATTACAGGAGGGCTTCAGTGGGGTTCCAGAGCAACACTCAATCCCTACTCCAGAGCTGCAGCGATACATTTTACCAGTTGTGTTCCCCACTGACGGCTGCATGTGTGCTGCAGTGATAAAGTGTTTATGCCCTACCACTGTAGGAATTTAATTCCAACCATTAACTGCTTTGTTCAGTTTCTCCTCTTCATGTAGTATCTGTCCTTATTTCTGTTTGTTTCTAAATTCCTCTATTTATTTATTCTTATTCTATAGCGGAAGCATGAAGATTGGCGCTGATCTGCTGTAGTAGTTGTGATTCTGCTTTTTAGTTCAAAACCATGTTACCAATTTTTACCATCTTATCTGTTTGCTAATCAAGCCATCACCTCAAATCTGTTGGGTAAATGACTTGTTTCTGGTGCAAGATCCTTGAAGCTGCAAAGCTTTCACTTGATCATAATCCACCTACTGCTGCTATTTGGCTTTATTAACCAGTACATTAACACTTTGCCATAAAGCTAATTTTCATCCTTGAGATTGTTTGAGGTCCTTTCTCCAGGACTGCCGTTACCAGAACTTTTCCTGATATTCACACAATGATATGGTCACTTGCTGCTGCAGGCTGTGATTTCTGTGATTTTGATTTCAGCCAATTCAGATGTGAGCTGATGGTTATATAGATAGACTACCTTTAAGCAGGAGTTACCTTTCTGTTAAGCAAACACTAGCATTTTTGTGGTCTCACGTGGAATTGGATAAAGGAACTGATCTTCTGAAAAGTTAAGTTGATAGAAACCTGCTAGAACTGAGACAGAGAAGTTTTGGGAGCCGGTAGATGGACAGGGGAAGTGGGTTGAGAGGAGTTACTGCCTTCGGCCACTGTCATGCACTGACCCTTGTAGACCAACTGTAAAACTGTAACCTGTGTTTTGTAAAATTTCTCCTTCATTGCAAGGTCAGCACTTACTGACAGGTTGGTATGCTTCACATAAATGCTGGTAGCTCTCTTCCAGGGGAAAAAAAAAAAGGGCTAGCACACACCCCTTCCCCCCCACCTCCTCAACTCTTTTATTTCATGCTTATCAGGCAGCTGCAATAATTCACATTGCTGTGGTATGGAAGAAGCTGATGGTAGATGTGTTTTTCAGCACTTCACAGTATTGGCCTTTTTGTTTCTTTATGGTGAGGTTCGTTGGAAACGGACATGTGGGCATCACATGTTCTGTAGTGAATTGGAGGAAGCCAATTTGAACTGCTTCCATTTGCCTTAAGTCCAATCATGATATTTATTTTTCCATGGCACTTATCCAGATTATCCATGCCTCCTGCTTAGCTTGTGTCATTTCCACCCTGGACTAATCTGTTTGTAATAACCTCTTATTCCTGATGTATCTTGTAACAATCTACCATTTCCCAGTTTCTTATTCTCAGCATATTACACTAAAACTGGAGATTGAAGTGAGAATTATTGCTGTGTAAAACTGTAAGAACCAAGGAAGGTGTCATGTTGAGCAGCACTGTCTGATTGATACCAGTCTTTCAATCATTGAGAAAATGGTTTCCACTATGCTTTTTGTGCCAGAAGTTGAGGAGGGGGGAAAAAAAAAAAACCAACTTCTGGCGACATTTGATGTCTTTATGTATAGTCACTTTGGCATTTCTTTTTTCCAACAGATGAATTGTCTTATCTGTTTCTATTATGCTCTTTGAGAGTTCACCTATCTTATCTCAGCATTACTGCTTTTAATTTAGAGTAGGTTTCTAAAAGTATATTATATGTTTTTTTAATTTTAGTGCTTTTGCTTATCTTTAGAGAAGAGTTTGAGCTAACTTCTAAAAGTCCTTTTCCTCTTAAGAACTTTCTATGAGACACTTTTTTGTTAATTTGTAACTTGAGATCTTGCCTGCTGTTTCTAGATAGAGTGAGCTAATATTTAAAGAGATTTAAAATATGGATTTTTGATCATGCATTACCGTTTATTATTTTACTACCTCTTCAAAGTCTTGTGGAAGAATGACAGTGAGCTGTGGTAGGACTGAGTGTGATTCCTCAGGGAGGTCATAAATCTTCTATATTTTTGTTGTACATTCTATGTTATGACAGTTCCCTTACAACTAAAAATTCTACATGCTTTTAAGCAACTTAACATATTAAGATTATTTTAAAATAAAATCTGAAGTCTTGAAAAAAGCACGTGAGACCCTGACACATCCAGTTTTTTGAACGGTAGAAAAGCATGTAATAAAAAGAGCCCAACAATAACAACAAAACCACATGACTTCCCCTTCCTTTGGATTTTCCCTTGTGTCTTGTCTTGCCTGTTTT